GCTACGGCACGGTGTGTCAATCCCGCCATGAGGGGGTTGTTGGTGCTTTCACCGTGCCGTAGCAGCAAGACATGCAACTCACCGGTCAAAGAGACCGCCGAGCCCGCCATGGGTAAAGGGGAAAGGGCTGGTGCGGCTGGTGAGATGGTGTCTTGAATGAGAGCAGGCAGCAGGTGTATTTAAGTCTTGGTTCTGATAGGACATTATAGGAGATGGGATCTGAGTCTGCTTCTGGGTGGAAATGATCGCATGAAGCACATCGGCACGGAGGCCCTCTCATGGGTCTGAAGCATTCGCCTCTGCAGTTGATTAGGTCGTGACCAGCTTGACAGTTGCGATAACTTTAAAATGACACGATTGACATACCGCGCCGCATCTCGCGACATGCTCTGTTTGTGTGCATCTTCTGAAAAGCTTTGAGCATCATTTCATCAAAAGTTTAATCTCTCTCCAGGTACAGTATATGCTTTCTCGAGTCTGGAGTCTGAGTACTTGATTCCGACCTTCTCCCACTCTTAACCTCCGCTTGGTTCGATTTCTACAAGCTCCAACCTCAAACGCAAACAGAGCTTTTACACACCTGGGATATTCTGCAATAATACAATATATAATACTATAATTAATTACAATATAAATAGAACATGATTTATATATGATGATTTATGCATTCATTCACCTGGACAAGCTATGAACGGGTCAATCTTGAAGTCAGCTACAAGAGACATGGGCTTAGTGTCCGTGTGCCTGATTCCTTGGTTCACCAAGCACCACCGAAGAGAAGATCTCCAGGTCCATCTATTTTCTTTCTGGGTTCATTAATGGTCAACACTGAGACATGTACAGTCATTGGGTCTGTCCATCAAGACTGGGACATCCCAACCTCTGAAACCAGTGGCTGGCGCGGCTCTTACAGAATATCGAACAAGCAAGCTGGAAGGCCGAATTCGCTCGGGCACCCGAAACTGGTCTTCCATTTGTTTTGACATCTCCCAGGGTCCCAAAGCTTTTTGAATATTCGCTTGCAGCTGCTTTTGCTCTTCGTACCAAACAGCAGCTTGCTTTGCAGGCTCTTCGTCCACAAAGGAGTCGGCAGCAACATGCAGCTCCAACAACATGTACATTGATGAACAAGATTCTCCCCATTATGGTTGATTGTCATTCCTTTTAATCCAAGAACCGTACTGTGTGTTTCAAGCGACTTCAATGGTAGTTTTGAGTGTATGGTGTCATTTTTTTAAAACCCAGAAAAGAACAAAGGCCCCTGAAACCATAATAAGAATCCCCCTAAAAAACTCTCGCTTTGACCCACTCGCTTTGACCCTCCTTCGCAACAGAAGAAGCAACCACCCCGGATCGCCTGACGTGCCGGAGCGGCCACCCCGGATCTCCAAGGTGAGGTTGCGTGAGTCCAAATAGACCTCAGAACCAACCCACCCACAGGTTCCGTGAGCACCGTCCACAGCCCGCATGGGTGGGAAAGGGGGGTCTAAGATATATGTACCAGTAGTGGTACTCTTGGCAAGAGAAGGGAAGATAGAATATATGTGAAACATATTGAAATATGATAGATCTATCGAATAGATTAGGTAGTTCGTCCCAATCCGTTTGAGCCCTCAGCCTTCCCTGCCTTCTTTCAGCTGCTCCCATTGGGCCCCAGCAAAGCGCTCATAGGGTTTTCCATTCGTGCCCACTTTGGTGCAACGAATGCCATCCTGCCAGTCAAGGCAAGATCGGCTAGCCAGCTGGTTGCAAGACGTAGACGAGAGTACTGAGAGTACTGAGGAGGGTGCGCAAATTCGTGCAGGTTGGGCTAGAGACCTTTTGAATCCTTTTGATGTCCTGCTTCACGGACGCTCCTGTTTTTGAGGGATTTGAGATCTCCACTTCCAACAAGACTCCAAAACCAAAGAAACGATACGGATCAAAAACGACGTAAGTCATCGCCCACGTCCACCGCGCCTTCCCTAGACGTGCCAGCTCTTGTTCATACCAGGTGTCACCTCTCTTCGACAGGTCCTGCGCCGGTTCGCGTCAGCGAAATGACGGTGGCGTCTCGTTCGGTGGCGTCTCTCGTCTTCGACCCACAACGCACTTGTTTCTATTAGCAAACATTGTTACTTACTATAGTAAGGCACTTGTTACTAGAAGCGATGCACTTGTTCCTAGTAGTGAACATTGTTTCATTTCGAGAAGCCAAAGTGACTTTGGGAGATCCTGAAGGCTTCGGATGGTCGACTCTGGCTAGAGGCAGAAATCAAGCACAAGGATGAGGCACCAGCAAGGCAATGTGAGTCTTTGTTTCACTGTGAAACAATGTGTGGAGTAATGTGCATGTTCGTGGCACCAAGAGCCCTCTACTTGTTGAAGTGATTCAAGAGCAAAGAACAGACTCACACAAAGTTCAACAAGAATGTCGCAATGACCGCGAAATGCCCACCGTCCCTCTTCACCATCGCCCAAATGACTTCTTCATGCAACCGACTCGGAGTGGCTTCGCGAGTCGAGTCATGCACCTGACCCAGCATGCTCGTGCCCGGAGGGATCTGGCGGCCAACATCGAAACAAGACACGCGAAACACGCACGGTCCACGCACAGTTCATCAGGACGATTCGACCCAGACAATCCATGGGGCATATTTTACATACATGGGCCGGTGGTTTCAGTGAGTCAATGTCGGCAGTCATATGGCAGTCCCATGCATTGTTGGGGTTTTGAACGGTTTTGGTCTCCTCGGTGACTCCCAGTGGCGTTCTTGAAGATGAGTTGATACAGTGACGTTCTACAGACGGCTGATGCGTGTTGATGGTTCTATTTTGATTGTTTGTTTTCCTTCTGAGGGTCAGAGGGAGACGTTTGTGACATGAACACCCAGCGGTAGACAGCTGTTCCTCTCTGAGAGTAGGTAGATGGTATCAGCATCCTGGCGCCAATGATTGGCTACGAACGGAGCAATCTGACGCTACGGACGTAGCTCCTGGCCTTACTACGAACGGAGCGATCGGACGCTACGAACGGGGCTCAAACGGCATCACTACGAACGGAGCAAGAACGAAAGATGGGAATCACAATCTTGGGACCCTGACCCTTACTCCTCGGCAGGGACTCTCTTTATATGGCTGTATCTTCCTTGGTAGGACTTCATGTCCATGTATTGCCTGTGGTCTTTCAAATTGGATCTGCCGAAGACAAAGAATAACAAAACGACATGTTGAGCTTCTTGTGGGCAAAGCGTGAGAAGCAAAAGCCAAAGGTTCCCACGCAAAGTCTCATTGATCCTAAAACCACGTACATGGCTTCAGTGGTCACAAACATGTGTCGAAAGTCAATTAGTCCAACTAGTCCAAGCTATTCCAAATCTTCAAAGAAAGACCAAGCCGACTCTCTCTCTCTCTCTCTCGTGTGGCTTGGAGCCTCATCAGTCCCCACGGTTTTTCGCCCAGGGCCTCCACAATGTGCTTCTGCTTGCTGCCAAACAACCGAGACCTGGTGGGCACGTGTTGGTGGAATTTGCCGTAGACATGGGGACTTTTAATTCTTGTTTCTAATAGCTTCTTGTTACTACTAGTAAGGCACTTGTTACTAGTAGCGATGCACTTGTTACTAGTAGCTTATTGTTTCTAATAGCTTCTTGTTACTAGTAGTAAGCTCCGTTCGTAGCGTCCTTGCTCCTAGTAAGGCCAGGAGCCCCGATCGTAGCGATGCCCTTGCTCCTAGTAGCGTTCCAAAGTGCCAACGGAGACATGGAGACATCACAGGAGATCATGGATCTCACATGGTTGCCTACCTTTGGGCCATCCTGCTTCCCTTGGTGCCATGAATGGAGCCCGTCGCCCAGATTGGAAGTCACATGTTCTCCTTAGAACTGCATACCCAAACGCCAGCTCATTGTCGACAAATACCCAGCCATGTGAAACCTTCGATGAAACCACATTGCGAATCACAACCGAATGGTCTGCCTACCGTCAGCAATATATTGACACAAACCATAGGAGCTACCTAGCGGTGCACTTGCACAGGTGGCCGCAAGATTGGGTAAGTGTCTGGATCGAAGAGAGCCCGTTGAGTGATAGCGACGCACGCTAAGAAACCTGCATCAAAGTGTTGAAAGACTTGTTGAAAGCTTGGAAAGGAGGTTCTTCCGGTGTAGATCAGCTTCCCTCCATCCAGGATCTGTGGATCTGGGTTTCAATCTTTGGCTGGCATGAGAAGGACCCGCCAGAGCTCCTTCTTTGCAAGCACCCACGTCTACAACCTGTTAAGAGCGCCAGTTGGAAACAGGCTCCAAATGGAAACCGATCTAGAACACCTCCCTGATCGGTTGATTCTTTCAATTCTGTCGGGTCAACGCCAAAATCCGCGTTGCATATCTGCACCACGACCCAACCCGTGGATCACGGACGATCTGAGTGACCGCTTATACATAAACACAATCTGATCACTGAAGTTCAGGGAAGTTCGCTTAAGTTCCGACAGTTCTTGGTGCACCACTGAAGTGGTTCACTCAATTACAGTAGCTACTAAGTTCAGGTGCACCTTGTAGCTCGGCACTTGGTTCCCCACCGCTTCGAGCGCAACAAGCGCCCGTCACTCGCAGGGCTCCCAGGGCTCCCCCGCATGAGGCCCTTCTTTTGAGCTGGGTAGCCACCCTCAGTGAAGCGAACGAGGGCAGCAGGCCCACTCTCCGGTGCCCTATACCTACCGGGCCATCCCACCAATTATTCAACGGTTCGTTTAATATCGTATTACAAATGACCAAACTGACTAATATGCCATGTCGTTCATCACCAAAAATGATGACCAAACTGAACCAGGAAGATCTGTCCGAAAACTCTGCTCCACTACAGGAAGTCCTGTAGTTCTCTGTCGGCTTGCAAGCGAGAAGAGTGAACCGAACCAGCAACCTGCTCGGGGCCCTGAAGCGCTTCGGAGAAGAGCAGTTGTCAGGTTCTCCGATGACCAAAGGTTCAGCATCCAACTCTGTGTCTAGCCGCCTCATCTCGCCCCTCTTTGGTCCTCTTGAAAAGAACCAGTCTGTCCTGTCACAGACTGCTGCTAGATGCATGCGATGGCACTTGCGCCTGCATCCAGGCTGTACTCAGTTGGGGTCGATCCGGCTTGAAATGCAGCTTTCAGGCCACCAAGCCTGGACCCAGGATGGGGGAGAGCTACCCAAAAAGAGACCTCACTGTCCATCTTAAATGGGGAGTCTGAAAATACTGTCTACGACTCTCACTCATCTTCACTGCTCGTGAGCTTTTCTGCCAATGATCCTTCAGGGACAACACTGGTTCCACTACTGCTCATGAGCTTCCAGCGCTGGAGGGTGTCAGTGACTCTCAGTGACTCATGCGGGACTTCTTCACTGGACGAGTCCATTCTCTGCTCAAACACGACTTCTTCATCACCTGTTTGTCCGAAAATAGATCTTGTGTTACCAAACATGTTCCTTGCTTCATTGCTGATGGCTTTTGGAGAAGAGGAACTTTGTAGCAACTAGAATTGTGAGTAATTATCCTGGTGTTTCTTTGTCACTCTTCTCCTCACTCTTTCTTCACTTCTCCTGCGACCTTTGGATTGTATTCGTATTTCTCGTACTCGAAGAAAATTATCCTGGCGAAGTGCGGGCTGCTTGTCTATTCAGCGTATTCATCTCATACTTTATGAGCATGTTTCGAGACAAGTGGATGGTCAACGTCAGAGTATCTAGGAATATTGTTAACTGAACACAGATGCTATTACAGCAATAAGACCAAGAACTTGAAGGACAGAACACAACAACCAACAGCATCAACCAACTCCTCTTCAGAAACAGCGGAACATATTGGTAGCCAATCATGGGGATCAGGATCGAAGTGCTCTCCCGATATTTGCCATATTCATCCTGATCACCGTCGGAACACCCGGCGCACCAGTCTGATAGTCTCGTGGCATGCGACGTTTAGTCTGATAGTCTCGTAGTTTCAAGGCCCAAGTTGCAGGACATTGGTCGTAGTATCGCTTCAAGTTCTTCCCTTCAGCGTTGTAAATGCCAGTGGGTTTCAGGTGAAGCAAAATCAGCATGGTGAAAATTGGAGAGATGGCGCAGGCCCACCAGAGAGGATCAAGGTAACCTGCCCAGAGAGCTGCGATCAGCAAAACAATGACCAGAACTGGCAAACAAAAAATAGTGCATACTACGGGAGTACGGGACAACAGGAGTCTACAAGTGTGACTGTGCCGGCTGTCTCTGTCTTTCCTATACTATAGATCAGTAGATCCACTTCACTTGGAAACGTGCTCCACCTCTTGCAGCTTCCGAGCTATGATACGCCAACGCCCAAGCAAACCACCACTGAAAGATCTCTCCGAAATAGTTCGGATGCCTCGGGTGGCGGATCGGCCGGTGACGCGGAGTCGCATGAGAGCGACGAGGCCCGGTCGAGAACCATGGAGTCGTCGGATGGAGCGATGGTCGTCCGAACCTGAAGTCGGCACCTGGCCGCCTCGATGAGGTGGTCTAGTGACATTTGAGTGCCAGGGGAGAGTTCTGAAACGTCTCGGAATGAACACTAAGACATCTACAAAGCCCTCAATCTGCTCGATTGTAAGGCTTACGTCGCACGGTTTTGCGCAATCGTGGCAAAAACAGGATTCACCCGACTGGGCAATGGATATCAGGAAGTCTTCAGGATAGGGTCAGGGTCAGATCATCTTAAAGGGCAAGTAAAGCAAGTACACACTCTCACTCACATGGAAACACATCTCTGGGGCTCCCGGATATATTAGACTTGAGGAAAGGAGGGCCTATCTTGAGAAAAGGGGTCTGTCCAGGACCATCTTCAGAACGGGTTTCCACTCCCACTCCCTTCCAGCCCATCCTCCCGAGCCCTCCAGCTCATCTGTCTTTAAGTGAACTCTTCCATTCAGCCGAATCAATGAGGTCAAGCTGATCCAGCCACAACCAAATTAGGTCAAGCTGCTTCATTGCCATCCATTGGCACTTGCCCTGATTTTTTCTTGTCTCCAATTTAGGATTCTTGAATCATCAAGGGCTGTCCCTTCAAAAATTGCAATTCCAAAGAGAGCTGGTTTGGAAAAACATATCCTCAGAGTGCACTTGGATGGCATCTGGCAACCCTGGGAAGACGACTTTCCTCTACAAAGATTTATCTCTGGTCTATCTCATTACCATGGCCAGGTTGCAGGCCTTTCACTATATGACGTGATAATTATTGTCTACCGGACTGTTACAGAAAAAGAATACAGACCCAACATCTATCATGTTCCACTTCCGTTCCATCCGCGTTCCGCCCAGGCGCCGCGAGAAGCCCCAAAGCCCTTCCTGGCAGAAGCCCCCGGGACGGCCTCGCCAGTCACAACGAGTCGACGGCCTACGAGACCTGGGGTGCCCAGATGCTCCGTTCACTCTGCCTGTCCGGGTCCCGGGTTCAACCGGATTTTCAGGGCCTGGCTCCTATTTATATAGAAGGGTCGATGAGAGTCTGAGTGGGACAAGTTCTGCAAGTTGTCCAAAGAGATATCTGGCCTTTCTTCACCCAGAGAGCCTTCCTTGGCAACATATGGCACCCGCACACGGCTCACAAGCATCGGCGAAGCTTCAAAGTGTTGTGTTAAGTCCGTTAAGCCAAGACTCTGGATATCTGCCAAGATCTCTGTCCCAACACACAGGGCAAAGCACAGCATGAACACGATGTCGATGAAGTCCAGTGGTGATGACTTGTTCGAAGAATTAATGAATATGACTGCAAACGATGGGGGCAAGCGTGGTAAACCACAGATTTTTGCCAAACCGGCCGACTTTCGAGGAGAACAAAAACCGGCGCATGACCTTCGATAGATTGCACATTACGGCTGAGATTCCTTCTCGCAACAGCTATGGGATGCTTGAAAAATGGTGTTTGACTCTTGATTGCTTGATATTCACAGCCAGCCTGGCATAGAAATGAGCATCACCCACATCCCCTGCACTATCCAGGCTTTCATAAAAGATATGAATTTGCCCTTGATATCGTCCTCAGTGACAGAAGCAGGCATACCAAAGCAGTCATCCAAGAACACAAAGGTCGGCCAAAAAGCACATAGAAACTTCACCAAAACCTTCAGTGTGGCCCACCACACGAGTCAAGAGATGTGCTCGTGTCAACGTCTGTCTCGTTCCTCAAACCATCCTTGCAAAGGGTCGAAGCGTGCGTCACCCTTGCGCTCATGAGCACGCCATGCCAAGAAGAGCAACAGCCAACCCCTGCAGATGTCGAACGATGTCTGAGGTCCACCCGGGTTTTGGATTCTCCGCTTCGTGGAACATCTATTCAGTCGATGGTTGCACAAAGAATCACTCACCATGGCCGACGGACAAACTTTTCACAATGGTTATCAGGATTGAGTGATTGAGTCAATGCGATAACTTGAACTCAGATGTGGAAGGCATGCAGCATTCTCAAATCAAAAACAGGTGTCCTGGAGCACACGAACAAGACTGTTGTGCAGATCTTCCGCAAGTCCAATGTGCTGCTGCTGGCAGACCTGGGAAAACGACTGGCACTCTGTGAGATGGCTGAGGTGTGTCTGCCATCCTTCTGGTGTGATGACCAACGGCTGGGGGAAAGACCAAAAGGCCAAAGCCAGGAAGTTAACCCCTCCAAGGATATCGTAGAATGTCTCGGTCTGGAGGGCATAGGCCACAAGGAATCCTGAACAGAGCGCGCGAGAACTGGGACAGCGGAGCCTTGTTTGCTGTTTGGCACAGTGAGGGTACTCATAACCATCTTCACAGATGCAATCATGTGTGTAGGTGTAATGCAGTGCAAAACGGCCCAATGCAAAGTTAAAGTGATATAAATGGTAATACTGTGTTGTGTGTGTGCATAAACGTTGTTCAGTTGTTTATTGTCATCCGGACACTAAGTTGTCTATTAATCTCTGCAGTAGAATCATGGTCTTCCAATGCATATATACCTATATAATGAAACATAATCATACATTGCATTTTTGCACCAAGACGGCCTCCTCCCTGGATGAGGGCAGTGATTGCCACAGAGATTGCATAGACAAGCTGCTGCGACATGGCGGAGACAAAGGATGCTGTACACAAAGTAGGAATATACAGGTCGTATGTGACTTGATGCTGAATACACAGGTGATGAAACAAAAAAGGAACGTGGAACATTATGATTGCACAAATTCTTTGAACAACAGCCCTTCGCAACGGATGTGATTGTCATTCAGCTATATATATATATCATTACATATCCATTCGTTCAAGCAAAGCACGTGTTCTTCTGGTTCCAATTCACGGAAAAGGTGGTTATAGGTGGTTTATGGCTTGAGAGCCGAAAAAACTGCAGGGGACAAGCCCTTTCACAGCAGCTTGGAGGAAGATCTGGGAGGGGCAGGTGTCCAAGAACATATGCCAGTGCGAAGAGGTCCAAGTTGGAGTTAGCTTCATTTCAGGTCAAAAAGCGGGGTGTGCGTTCGCGCTCCAGAACCATCTTCTCATCTGAAACCCTCTTCAGCCTCACCAGCCGAGGCCAAAGGTGGCGACCGAGGGAACGAGTCATTTGGGCACCCGAGCTGCTGTAGCCACCGTCTCATCGGCAGTGCCTGGTGCGGCAATCGAAGTTCAGACTGCGCGTTCTGAATAAGTCTCTCATGTTGCATGTTTCGTATTGCAAAGACAAGTCACACACACACAACACGGGTTGTCTTTGTTTGTGTCTCCTTTCGGCTCTCCCCCTAAAACTTGTGTGCCCTCTCTTTCTTTTCCTCGCTCCTCTGACAGAAATGCATCATTTGTGGAAGCTCTTCTAGGGTCAAATCCGGCCATGGGCCAATTTGTACACTCTGCTTACTTCAACTTCAGCCCGTCTTTTAAGCCCCACACTGGAGAAAAATTACACCAGCATAGACCCAGATAGCTAGGCAGAATCCCACGACCTGTTGACATGCGACTGGCTGGAACAAGAATGTACGCAGCCTGCACAGCCGGCTTACGGCACCTCCGCAGCGCGCGCAATCAGCTGACACCAGCACCGGTGCGCTTTGCCAGCTGACAACACCGGCAGCGGCGCCAGCGCCCGACCAGCGCCGCCGCCCGTCCGCGCGCTCAGCCAGCTCACAGCACCAGCACCCAGGACCACAGCACCAGCACCGACACCCTTTCGAAAGCGCGCGCAGCCAGCTCATTCTTATTTACAGCAAGAACCCCATAGCTATCCCTTAGGGAATAACAACGTATGATCTGGCACGTATAAGTTTATGCGCACAAAAGTATGCGCACAAAGAGCAAAGCCCATAAGTGTCATTGGCCCAAGGCTAGGCAGTATCCAGCGCCACTGTTGACTTTGTAGCATGCTTGAAGCAACGACCTGCAGAACGATAAGGCCGTATGATCTTGCGCGTACAAGTTTACGCGCACAAAAGTATGCGCACAAACGGCAAAGCCCGTAGTATCCAGCACGACTACTGTGTGTGTAGCATGCGGAAACATGCTGAAACAATGGTCGGTTGCGCATAGAACATTATACGTACAAAAGTATGCACGCAAACAGAACAGCCCTTGACACAGCTGTCGGCGAAGACAGAACCTGAAGAGTGTAAATACTCCACAGCGCTAATAGACAAAGAACGCTCAAGCGACAACACCGTATGATGTTGCGTGCATAAGTTCATGCGGCCCATGACTGCTGGCACTTCATTGTCAGAAGCGGTGCTTGGTCGCCCTTCACTGCGCAAGCGGCGGTTTGTTACCTCTCACTGTCAGACCACGCGCAATGCCAGCACCCAGCACCGGCGCCCAGCCTCCACCACGCGCACTGCCAGCTCACAGCACCGGCACCCGAGCCCGCTGTCTCTACCAACCGGCACCGTGTCTCCAGCACCAGCACCACAGCCCGCACCAGCACCCGGCACCGGCACCCAGCAGTGGCACGTTGTTTCCACCACGCGCACAGCCAGCTCAAAGCACCAGCACCGTCACCCGGCACCCGGCACCCGGCACCAGCACCGCGTGCACAGCCAGCTCACAGCACCAGCACCAGCACCGGCACCCGGCACCCGGCACCCAGCACCAGCACCGGCGCCAGCAACCTGTCTCCACCGCGTACCAGCACCAGCACCAGCACGGGCACCCAGCACCAGCAACCTGTCTCGAAAGCCCACACGGGCAACTCATTGTTATTTGAAGTAAGAACCCCATAGCTGCGCTATCTGGGGAACAAGCATGCAAACCACACCACACTCGGACAAGAGTCCATGAGTTCTTTCATCTCAACTTGTCCAGAACTCCTTCCTCTCTCAGCACAAAAGGTTCAATCCTTCACGGAAAAACCCATCGAACACAAAAGAGTTCGGGTGTCAAATGCCCACTTCTCTCGCGACATCTCTCTTCACATCAAAGAGTCGAGTGTGGTGTGTCTCGATGACCAGATTGAGTAGGTTACCTCCACTTGGAGGTCAACACAATTGATTGTTGAAAAACCGGCCTTCAACCTATATGTTCTCCTGCCCCCCAAACCAGAACGGAGAATCCAGTCAAACCTTTTTCATCCAAAGTTGCTTTGGAAACTCCTCTGATTTGTGATTCTCCACATGACCTGCCCACAGTCCACACGTGAAATCAACGGGGGTCTGCCTCCTTGTGAGACTAACTCCTGGCATTTCGACTGCTCGCGGTCGCCACGAAATCAGTCGAAATTGGGATGCCACATGGATGCCACAAGAGGGCGCTTTTCGGGCCACACATCTTCCTAGGTTGAATCCGAGTCAGGAAACCCCACAAAGGTTCAGTCAGGAGACCTGAACAAAGGTCGTTTCCTCCGGCGCTTTTGGTGTGAAAACCTCTCCACAAACCAGACCGTTGTCGTCGGAAGCGCACATCAAATCCCTATACCAGGACCCTCCAACAGGCTGTTTGGAGACCCTAACAGGTGGTTTCTGGGCACCTGTTGTCACCAGGAAGCACCTGTTGCAGTCAGACCCCAAAACAGACCATGAAACATCTCAGAAGTCCTACAGGCCATGGTGAAAGGTACGCCGGATGTGTCCAACACATGGTTTCCCCCATGGAACTCCGTAGGCGCGGCACGGCTTAGGTGTGCCTCGGTGTGCCTGGCATCCATTCGCCAATAACCGTTTGGAAGAACTGATAAACATCAAAGTTGTATCCAACCTCATTCTAACTCTGGCATTGACAACGTAGTTCTGATCAGAAAGTGGTAGCCAAAATAGTGCATCAAACAGGCAAATCCCAATGGAACTCCTCAACCAATGAAAAGGTTTACAAAGAAATGTGGCAACCTTAAGTACGTGGTAGATGAATGACATGAAGCAGTCAAATCCCAGTGGAACTCCACACCCACGCAAACCCCTGCAAGCCCCTCTGTATGGCGCAAGCCTTTTCTCACCACGAGACCGACCGGTTGACCTACCTGGTGCTCCGTCCTTTGCGACCCTTGTTGGACTGGTCGGGCCTCACATGGTGGGAGGAAAAGCCCATCCCCACCCATCCCACTCCATGAAACTGGCATATTTAGCTAGATTGGGTGGTTGACCCGGGGTCAATGTATGTAACTATGCCAGTCCCGAGTGGGGATGGACATGTTTGGGCCGGCGCCCTGCGTCCTCTCTTCCCACTCATCGAGCCTCCTCGACGCCGACTTCCTCCGCTTCGCCTCGGCGTGTGGGAAAGGCGAGTCACGGACGGGAAAGGATCCGGGCCGGGGGCATCCGGCTTCCCCGGCGCGTAAGGACATTTGGGTTGAAAAAACAAGGTTGGTCGCCTGATTGGCACAAGCATACTACTGGAGTGCTTGTGAACTACTGCACGAGGTGGCGGGACCACTCGTTCAATTCACACTTGGAACATCAACCATGCAGTAGCTAGCTGCGGACACGTCGCCAAGATGGTTGCGAAAGGTGTGCTTAGTGATCACATGTGATCGCCAAGTGCTGACTGGACCAGCATTTAGACCACAGAGTGTCTCTTCCAGCTGAACAGCAGGACTCTTGAATATTTGACGCAACAGGAAGGAAAACATACCAGATTCATGCTATCTCATGGCCAGATCCCAGAAGATCCCAGAAGCCATCCCAAAGCATCTGGCCACTCTAAGGCTGTTGCGTGTGGATGGCGATGTGGTGCTGGTCTTCCGTTCTGCGGCGCGGGCAGGACGAACAGTTCGGTTGCAGACCTGAGGAGCAAACACCCAAAACTGCTTAAGAAGGTGGAGCCGAAGAAACCTTGGTAGATTCGTTGAACACCTCCCCAAAAAAAAATATACGATGTCCTCTACAGCAACCACCGTTGGAACATTTTTGCATTCGCTGACTTGAAAGGATCAGTCACGTTTCCCCTCACCAGACCATATCGGTATGCCGCGGTGACCAAGTACCACAAAGTGCTGGGCGGCAAAGGCTTGAATCTTTATGCCGGCCCACTCTGCAGGCATATCTATGCGGAGATCTTTAGGTCATGACGTTGTCACACGGAAATCACACCCAAAAAATAAGCCCGAAACTGTAAACCAGCGGTTGCAAGTTGCACGGTGCCCACCTTAGTCTTCTGGGAAGTGGGAAGCCACGCAAAAAGGAAGAATGTCCTTCGCCCCATGTGTGAAGTGCTACAGAAAGGACGCAATACGCCGCTGCCTTTCGGTGTTGACTTGGCCTGGCGACGTGGCGCCATGGACGACCAAGTCCTCTGTGTGTCTGAGAGCGACGCTCTCACTTGTCATGTTACACCATCCATACTAGTCATGATCATCTTTTTCATGTCTTTTGTTCATCCTCTGGACGCGTAAACAAAAACCTCACTCCCCTTTTTCAGTGTCTGCCTCTTACATCCCGTCAGCTAGCTTCATTGGGTCTCGTGATGCGTTGTGTCTCCGACCGTCGTTTTCGGTCGTCAGCCACTGCGGTGAAGGGCGCGAAAAGGATTGGGAAGACTGGGACATCCAGAGTCAGACGGGCACCCAACACAAGAAAAGTCAATAAAAGCAAACCCACCAACACAAGACTGGCACCAGCCAAGCTGTTTCTAGAGGTGGACACGTCTTCCAGCTCCATGTTACATGTTTTCTTGGTTTCGTCTCAGGCCTCAGGTTTTGGTGTTTTCTTTTTTACCAGAAAACGTTCCATGGGGCGTTCCAACAAAGGGGCCGCAACCCAATGAGACCTGCATCTTCATCAAGAGCTCCATGTCATTCTTGTGGCGATCGCCGTGCGGCGCGGTGGAGGCTTCCTGCACCGCGCCACAGGGGACCCATCGGACTCCCAAGGAGATGGTGGAGATGTTAGGGGTCACGCATAGGAAAACAGTGTGGGAGGAGGATGGTTTTGGGGAACTGGAGAGGACAGCGCTGACAGGCTGACAGGACAACACTGCGTGCTTTTTGGGGGTTCCCACAGTTGTAACCTTCATGTAGTATTTCGTGTATATGTTTGTTCCACATTTTGTTTGGATCCAACTTCTGCAAATCATCTGTATCAATTCTACCAGAGACCTCAGCGCCATGATGTTCCAGCATCGAACGAAGGCAGACTGGAACCGAGCAATGGCCTCCAACCTAGAAGCAATAGCCTCCAAGGTAGACTGCCTTAAGAACCCCGAAAACATGGCCATCTGTCGCGCATGAATGGCTCATGGGGGGTTTCCTCGACCGGTCGAAGCCCGGGCTCCGCTGAGCGTCCCCACGTCCGAGTCATCGCCCGAATCCTCAGCTTCCGTCGTTTCAAAAACGGTTTCTTTTGGGGTGTCTTTTGAGGCTCTTGGAAGATGGTTTCCACACATTCTGGCAGATCTTGTCCGCCTGGCGCTGATTGTAGTGAAATGTGTTATCCATTGTTCTTCTATAGATTTGATCAATTAGTATCTATCCTCCAATGCTCACCTCCTTCTGAAAACAAGTGTTTGCGGATTGGTGACTCACTACCTTTAATGTGGCTCTTCATGGTCGGGCATGCATGTTTATCAGGTGAGACGAGTGCAAGACCATTTCTGCTGTGTCAAGTCACTGCCTTTGCCCATCTTGAGATCTTTACGGGTTCCTTGAAATAATATATATTAGTAAAATCATATAATATGTACTATAAAATAAAGGAGCATGTAATTATATATAAATATATATAACGTATATACTATGAGTCTATAACAATGGATTACCAACCCACAGAACTGCTGAGATCTCATTCATCCGATTCTGAGCAGTTGCTCACACCAACTTGGGGAACACGGTAGAAACAACAGCTCGGAAGACTGGTTTGGGTGGTCTCGAGATCTGCCTGACTGGACATCAGAGTGGATCCAGTCCCCAAGACCGCAAACAAGAAGTGCCAAGCAGTGAGCTTGGACAAGGAGCATCTCGGGACATGAGAAAATGAATGAGAATAGATGTTTTTGTTTTCCCGTCTAGGGAAAAGAACCGCCATTTTAAGCACGTTGCTCATCTACAATCTTGCACTTACCTGAAGCGGGTAGTGGAGGTGTTCCACGCAAAGGAAACGGAAAAACATCGCCTTTCTCACATTTCGGCCACATTTCGCCTCATCTTTGATTCCACCGGTACCGATGTTGCTTGAGAAACCGGCATGCGAACGCCTCTCAAGAATTTCTAATTGATGGCTGCAACATGTTGCAACAAATCAAACATGGACAACAAAGTACAGGTCCTATCAGATCTATAGATATATCATGATGTTATCTCATGTTCCACGATGTGGTTCTACGTGCTTCACTTCCCTCAAAACCTCTTCGATCGACTCGTCCCGGGTGCCCCAGGCGTTCGGAAGACTTTCATCCGTCTCGTCCTGAAGCGTCGGACGCCAACGGACCGGACTCGGACCGGACTCGTCGTCCCTGCCTACCTCCCGCCTTTTCGTTGCGGAAGCTTGGAACCTCAAAGGGAAAAAACGATATCAACATTGTAACTACATCTTTTCCCTGTTTCTACAGGGGGATTCACCCTTGTTTGATGCTTTTATCCAACATATGGCCCTCAAGCAAAACCAGGTTTTGGGGGAAACGACTTAGCCCATCTTTATGATATCTTTATGGAGTGGTACATCTCCAAAGAATGAGGCTGACATTGAGGTGCCTCAAAAACTGGTCCTTGGTGTACCACTTGGTGTACCACTTGGTGTACCACTTGGTGTACCACTTGGTGTACCAGGTGACATCATTCGGGGTCCACGTTCAACATCGTTCAACTGGTCCGGTGCCTGTCACTATGGTCCACGTCCTCGAGGTACTCCCTCCAAGACTCATCGTGCGCATCCTGGCAGCTGAGTGATTCAAGAGAAGCGCTTCGTTTCACTTCATTCAAGTGGCTGCCAGTGGCCCTGTCAAGTGGCTGACATCAAGCTACACTCATGCATCACCACTCATATTGCACTACGACCACCTGATGGCAACTACTCTCCCAAATCTCCCAGACATAATGATTCCCTGTGATTCACTTCAAGGCTGAATCGCTTCACTGCACCTGACGCTTGAACCCTCCTGGCCACATTGTAAAGGAACGAAACGGATAAAAAGAGAACGGAACAGGTCTGGAGGGAAATCGGCAACATCAGAGATCTCTTCGAGCTCCTGAGTTCTTTTGGGCGGATGACTTTGATGCCAGTTTTGCGGCTCTCGAGTGGTCTTCATCTTGTCCCAAGAGGAGACTCAAGGCTAAAGCAGGGTCTCTCGTGCTGCTTGGACTTAGTGCAACGAAAGAGAAGACCATTATGGGGATCTTCCCAACACTGCACATTGCTTGATCACCATTCGAGAATGCCTAACACCAGCATGCCCGAAAGCATCCGAAAACCTAAAAACCAATCTGATCTTGCCACCAGCTCTTTCTTTCTTCCCTGGTTATCTTCACGTTTTCGGGGGGCCTCAGTTCTACGTCCCACCACTCGCCCGATCCACCTCTTCATGTTCCTCGGCCACGGCCGCGGCCGGCTCCGCCGCTGGCGGGGCGCCGGCGGCGGCGCCTGCGGTTCCCAAACACGTGAAGAGGTGTGTTCTATAGGAATCATCCCATCAAGTCAGTGCATGTGCATGTGCAACCCGTTATAATCTTCACAAGTTGGCTCGCCCTTAGGCTCTTAGAATTTGACACTCCGAATCTGCTTCTCTTCCGTCTTGACCAGAAAACCATCGAAAGTCAGGTGCTTTTTGCAGGCAAAGGGCAAGTTCAAAACCTAGTCCAAGTTGCCCAGAAGGCTCTCTCCGCTTCCTTTTGAACCTCTGCCTTCCTGGTCTTTTCGGCACCCGGAAATGGATTCCGAACAAGTCAAAACCAAGAGTCCAAGCGGTATGTCTCGTGTTCCTCGTTTTCGCGTTTTGTCTCATAGGTTTTCCATGTCGGTTGCGGTTCAGGATTCACCGTTTCACCTGGTGCGCCACTGGGCAGTGCTGTGGGTGCCGAGGGCGGCGCAGGGCCTCGAGGCCGGGGAGCGGCACAACGGAACGGTCCCATTCTTCGCTTCAGAAAAAGCTGTTGTTCAATTTGTGAACAGCCCCTAGTAGCTTCTTGCTCCTAGTAGTAAGGCCAGGAGCCCCTAGTAGCTTCTTGCTCCTAGTAGTAAGGCCAGGAGCCCCTAGTAGC